AGACATTTTAAAATTTCTTTGACTGTGCTTGTCAGAAAATAAGTAATAACAAGAGGATTTCTATTTGAAACTTTAGTATTACTCTGTTTTAGGATGTCTTTACGCTGAGTGTTGTTAGTTTTTTCGATCTCTTTGTCAATTTCGGTATATTTATATCCTTTTTGTAACATGGTTTGTTTTAGATCATTGGTGTTTTTTCTGTAATCTGTTTCATCTGAACAGATTTTCTTTATTCGAAGAGCTTGACTGTAGGTAATGTTGTGTTTAGTGTGAGCGGGGTGACAACTTTTATAATTACGGTACTGAGGTCTGTCTACGTTTTTTTGCACAAGTCGGTGTGTAAAATTCCGTCCTTTAAAAAGACAGTGACGTCAAGAACGTTAATTTGGGTAGGAGAGTTTGTTTTGTTTGTTTTTGAATTTCTCGCAAAGCTACACGAGGGCTATCTGCGCTAGCCGTCCCTAATTTAGCAGTGAAAGCAGCTAGTCATCACCACCCACCGCCAACTCTTGGGCTACTCTTTTACCAACGAATAGTGGGATTGACCGTCACATTATAACGCCCCCACGGCGAGCATGTTTGGTGTGACAGGGATTCGAACCCGCGACCCTCAGATTGTGAGTCGAGTGCCTTAACTACCTGGCCATGCCGGGCCGGGGTAGGAGAGTAATTAAAGGTAAACTTGATTGTTTTGTAAAAGGTGTTTGCATATGAGATAAATTCTTTAAGTTATTCAAAACTAACTGTTCAAATGAAAAATATGTCATCTATGTAATGTTTTCATGTATGAGGTTTTACAGGGCTTAGTTGTAAAATCTGGCTTTCAATATGACCCATAAAAATATTGGCATAATTGGGAGCCATTTTGGTACCCATTGCACTACAGTTAACCTGAAGATAATGTTCGTTATTGAATTCGAAGTTGTTCAGGCTTAAGACAAGGCTGGCACGATCAGTTACTGTTTGGGATTATGATGGGTTAGAAAGGGTTAAGGCGGACTTTTTTAGAGTTTCTAGTCCTTCAACATGTAGAATGTTAGTGTAAATGGAAGAAAAATTCCATTGTGCAAAGAAGACTGTTAAATAGTAAGTGTCCGTTGGTATTGGTATCTTCTACGATGTTAAGAAAGTGATTAGTATCCTTTATGTATGAAGGGAGGATAGAAGAAATACATTTTATGTGTTAGTCAACAAAAGCGTACAGATTTTCAGTAGCTATGTTTGTGTTAGAAATTATGGGTGAACCAGGATTGTTTGGTTTATGTATTTTCGGTACGAAATAAAATCTACCTGAAAAAACTTGTCTGGAAGGTTTCTTTGTTAATTTTATTATTTTGGAGGAGTTCTTTAAGTTTGTCAGTTATGGTCTTAATAAACTGAGTTGTAGAATCCTGTGAGAGTTTCTTCTAGTTGGCGGTTAGTTTAAGCGATATAGCCATCTGTGTAAAGAATAACAATTGTTCCACCTTTGTCAGCTGGCTTTATTATGACACAGCTATTTGATTTAAGATTGTTTAGAACAGTTCTTTCATTTGGTTAAGATTATTATGAGATTGTTTGAAATATTTTAAGGGTTGTATTATGTCATTTTTTACTGCTTCAATAAATGTGGTCCATTGTTTGGTGGAAGTGTCCATAGAGTTGGGTGTATGTTGATTTTCAGTAGGGTGGAGTTTGTTGTAGAAAAATTCGCGAAGGTTTAGTTTTCGAAAGAATTCATGCAGGTCAGAAAGACGTTCGGGTTCATTAACAAAGTTATTGTTTGTACAGAAGTTGAGACCATTACTAAGGAGATTGAGTTCTGCTTCTGATAAAGTTATGTCTGAAAAATTAATAATGTTAGAGATATGTGTGGAGTGTTCATCGTTACCTGTGCTATTTATGAGGTCATTATTATTTTTAACAGGTCTGATAGTTTGAAAGGGCTTGTGTGTATTAAAGGATGAAGTGTTTTTAAACATTTTAAAGATGTTCATTGTGAGATAAATGCTATTTGATAGTTTCTGATAGAGTGCATGATGTTATGGTAGTTTCTTTATGATACAGTAGAAAATAGGAAAGAATGCTGTCAGAAGTGCTTTTTGAATTAGTGTTACTGTTGTTACGTATCTGCTTGTTTGATAATTTCCAATATAAATTATTTCCGAGGAACTTCAGCGATACAAGTCCCTTCTTGATAAAACCAGTTTATTTTTTTCTCGATACAAACTTTTATACACAGTAATTCCACAGTCAGTATGTTTCTCGTCACTTTAAACTTAACTACTTTTATAATACATGCTATAAATCACAGCGATTCACAATCTCGATAACTTCGGTTTCTACGAGTGCAAAACACACACACTAGTTCGAAACAGAATCGTAAATTACCCGGAACTCTATTCATTCATTCCCGCAGGCTTTTCTGCTAGGCTTATATACTAAAAAAGAGGGCGTCTCGAACAAACTCGGTCTTCCCGATAATTCATGATCATTCGAGAAATTCATCACATGTTACCAGGGTCACGTGACTTCCGCTGTCGTAACACTGTTAAGAGACTGGTTTTCGTTATTCTTTATAAGAAAGAATGTATCAGTTCTCTTTGTAAATTTTTGTAGTTATTTTCTTCCAGTGAAGGTATAGATGATAATAATGGGAAATTAGCTGATTAAGTGACTAAAGTTAAAACAGAAAGAATAATAGAAAAACGTACTTACATCCCAAAACATTTAAGTAACAGCATTACAAGCAACGAACAATTGTTTCATTGGAAACAATTAAAAATCAAATACTGTCTTTGATAAAACATTAAAATCAACACGAAAATACTTCCCCAAGATATAGTGTAGTATATAAGGATATTAGGTGTTTTCTACCTCATTTATTAGTAAGGTAAACTTTGAAAGTTCACCTCAAAGTTTCAACATTTTCATTCATATAAGTGTATGTAGGTTTAAAAGTAGTAATTATGTAAACGAGCACAACAATCTTTTCCTCTAGGGGCTAGGTGTAACTTTAGGGTTAAAGCTTCCCTTAGTTTTCGATTGAAATTATCATTAGTGAAGGTACTGTTACGCCTCCAGTCGTTACTTAATTTTCCGTAAATTCGTTCCGACGAAACTTTAGCGACACAAGTCCTTTCTTAAATAAAACTGGTTTATTCTTTCCGAATACAACTTTACCTGAATGCAGTT